CGCGTAACGTGCTCAATTCTTTTTCCGATAGTCCGTATATTGGGCCGAAAGTCGGTTTCTTTCCTTCCTGTAAGACAATCTTGTGGTCCCAGGGTTGGTGCTTTGGCAATGCTTGTTCATCTGCCACTTCCCGGAATAGATGTTCGAATTCTTTGTATTCTGCGGGGATCTCAGGAGTTGCGCGTTTCTCCAAAACTCTAGTCTGTCGACCCGGTGGCTCCGTTCCGGCGTCTGCTGAGTCGGACCCTTGTTCCTTAAGGCCGTCCTTTGTCGAGGCTCGCTTTTTCTTTGCGATGTTATTCAGTTTCCTCTCATCTACCATCGTACTCTGACAATGCGTAGGCTGGCTTGTGGTTGCGTCCGTTCCACAGCACTCGAATGAGAACGTCTTCGACTTCCAGTCGATCCGTGGGTTGTGTTCTCGTAACCATGGAAGTCCTAATATGATGTCGTGGGTAGCTAGTCCGAAGACATCTAGGTCTATCTTCTCTTGGTGTCCTTGGATGTTGAGCGTCACTTGTCTGACCTCGTGGGTGATCTCTTGTTCACCTGGCATTGGCTCTCCGTTGGCCACATGTAGTGGGTAAGCTTCTTGTTTCTGTAACGGCTTCAGTCCGGCTGAAGACGCTGCGTGCGCTGAAACGTAGTTGGCTTGTGATCCCGAATCTACTAGTGCCTTCATCCACCTCCCTTCAAGCTTCACCTGAAGCTTGATGAGGTCTAAGGAGTTTACTGAGTTAATCTCCTTGCCGGGCCGCTCTGGGCCGGGTGCTGGCCTAAAAAAGCCTGATTTCCAAATCCATGGAATCCTTTGGCTATCGCATGAAGGTCGCATTCTTTGCTAAGGCACGTTTGCCAGTTGGGTTGTTGGCATTCCCAAGCGTCTCCTTCGTCGTATTCTTTTAGCCATACTGTTTGCATCTGATCAACTTCTTCGGGGTTGTCGTGACCTGGGAAGTATGTCTTTTCCCTTTTGTCCCATAAATGTATTGGGCATAGGTCGTTTTTGCAGTCGAAGAATTGCCACTTGCAGCGGTACGATCGTTTGGTTTCTTCTGGGAACCATCCTGATCCGGACTTATCCGAGTAGTGTACTCTGCAATGGTCGTGAATGCATGTAACCCATGATAACTTCTCATGTTCTGGGTTCCTAGGGTCCATCCAGTAGTCGTATTCCTTTGATCTACTGATGTCCTTGGCCTTTCTCTTGTGGCCGTGTTGGAAGGTCTTCCAATCGTTCCTGGTCTGGCAGAGTTCGTCGTAGATCTCTTGCTTCTCTTTTTCCGAGATTGGCAACGTTGGTTCTTCCCATGATCGGATTGCGTCTTCGATCCAGCTTAGTTCCCATGTTGTTGGTAGGAACTCCAATATTTCGGTTGGAACGTTTTCCTTGTTTTGTTGTACCTCTAGTGACAATCGGTAGAAGTCCTGTCGCATAGCAGCCATAATGTTGGGTTCCTCGCAGGCGTACTCGATATTAGCCTTGTTGAGGTGTCGTAGTAGCTGGTTGATTTGTCTTGCGAGCTTGTAGAACTCTTCTTCCTGTATATAAGGTGTGGGTGGCCTGTTGATTCCTTCAAACATGGCCATCTTGCCGAATTTGGTCTGGTCGATTTCCGTAGCCTCTAAGTCCTTGGACTCATCTTCGAGCATGTCGTACTCCGAAGTGGGCTGTTCTTCTTCTGAGTCTGATTCCACGAGTGTGAGGTTGTCCAATCCCAAAACGCTTTCCTGCGTGTTGATTTCGATGGTTGGTTTAGATATGACATTCCATGTCTCGTGTCGCTCAGTGGGTACTGCTTTGTGGATAACGTTGAGTTGTCTAACCACCTTGTTCTTGCTGTGGCAGTCCCTAGCCATGTGACCTTTCTTGTCACAATTATAACAAGTGATCTCTTTTTTGTTATATGGCTTCTTCTTGTCATTCCTTCCGAAACTCTTGCCTTTGTTGATGTTGTCCAGTTGCATTGCATCAGGGTCGTGCCAGTTGTTACCGGCGGAGGGTACAATACCTCCGGGTGTCGTCCGATATCCTGGTTTCTTCTTGAAGAATCGTCCCTTTGTGCGTTGCACTGACTGGTTGGCTCTAACCGGTCGGATTTCCTGCTGCAATTCGTAGAGTGCGTTGTCGATACGAATTGATTCTCGGATGAGATCCTGTAGGTTGTTGATTGCCACGCCGCTTCGCATGAGCTCTTCTTTGACTCTTTCTTTGAGTCCTTGTCGGTACATAACCCTTAATGCCTTGTCGTCCCAGTCGGTCTTCAGGGCGTGTCCCTGGAAGATACTGGCGTAGTCGGCGACTGATTGGGTTTGTTTGAGCTGTTGGATTGCACGATCTGCCTTGGATTCTTCGTTGATGACTCCGAATTGCTGTCTAAGCTTGTCTTTGAAGGTTGGATGGTCTTCAAACATTCGTTCAATATCGTCGTCGTCATCGTTGTCGTCCATGTATTTGTTGAGGTAAGGCTTGATCCAGGTGGCGGCAGTTCCTCGCATGTAACTTGCCATGAGCAGTCCACGATCAGTAGGGTCGACCTTCTCATCTTCAAACCTGAAGAAGAGATCGAACTGGAGAATCCAGTCTTCGAGCTTGTGTCGGTCGCCGTGAAATAGATCGGGTCTGGCCACCTTGGTGCGGCTTGACGAAGTTTCGTTAGGTGTGTTCATCGGGGTGTCACTCATCTTGAGGGTGTTCAAAGTGTGAAGGTCGTCCGAAGATGATCTTGGGTTGGTTCTCGGGGATAGAGTGATGCGATGGACACGAGGGTGTATAGCACGATTGGTAGATCGATGTAATATACGGGGAGTTGAGAATCAAGTACTAATCCTTAGATTTCGAAGTTGAACACAATGAGCTATAGAAGCTCATTGCCTAATGCTATATACCTATGGTGCTCGCTGTCCTCGCTCAGAGGAGTCCGAGGATTCCTCGGTGGCTGACGCGCGAGGAGTACTCCTGTCAGATTGTGATGGGTTATCAAAGACGGGGATAATAGTATAATAATATGATTGGGATCGATTGTATTGTTCTGGTCTGATCTCGTGTGTTCTGTTGTCCAACGCTGTTCGATCAGTTGGGTCGCGGTGGATTGTGCGCGCTGACTAATTTAACTGATCCACAGAATCCACAGCTCCGAACACCCGGATTTTGTCCACCACCCAAAATATGCCCATATTCTGACACACCCCCTCAGCTCAAGAGCCTTGAGCTGGATTAACCACAGCTAAGCTGCTCTAATTGAGCTTGGATCTCTACAACAGGTGACTGATTGTGTGGCTCTCGATCCCTAACTTCGACCAGCCCTAGTTGGATCAGAAAGCCCGTCCACTGGTTTACTGGGAGTACTTTGGTGAGGCCATCAGCTATCATCTCAGAGGATTTTGTGTATACTACTTTGATCCTCTGGTTCGTCACTTCCTGTCGGAGCCAATGGTTGTGGATATCTACGTGTCGGAGCTTCGTGGTGAGTCTTGATACTGCTTGAGTTACAAGACGGATCGTCTGTTGATTGTCGCATTGGATAGTGATCGTAGGACTCGGTAGCTTAACCTTAAGTTCACTGATCAATCGTGAGGTAAAGATCGCTTCTTTGGCTACTTGTGAGAGTGCTAAGAGCTCTGCTTCAGTTGTTGAAGTAGTGACGGTATCTTGCTTGCTAGATCGCCAGGCGATCAGCCCGCCGAAGAGTTTAATCGCGTAGCCCTGAGAGCTTTTGCGATCCAGAGTGTTGTCTGCAAATGATGCGTCACTGGCTACCTGCATAGCGGTGCCGCCACCCAATCGTAATGTCAGCCACTTAGTGTCGGATAGGTAGAGTAACACTCGATCCGCAGCCTGTTGGTGTTCCTGACTTGGGTTGGCGAGAAATCTGGCTAGTCTAGACGTCGCAAAAGCAATATCCGGGCGTGTATTGACAGCGGCGTAGAGGAGAGAGCCAATCTTCCGCTGGTATCGATTGATCTCAGACGGGGTAGCTAGTCCTTCTCTGGGCATGAGCTCGCTGGTCGCCATAGGAGTATCGTGGCGGATTGTCTGATCGTCCACTAGTCTATTGATCTTTTCATAGTAGGCAACCTGGGAGAGGTGGATCAGTTGTTTGGATCGATCCCTGATCACCTCGATCCCAAGGAACCACTGTAGATCGTCTCCACCAGTGATGGAGTATCGCTGCTTGAGCTGATCCATTGCTTCTTGAGCCTTCTTGGATTGATCCTTGCCAGTGATCGGAATGGTCTGGTCTGGTCTGGTCTGAGGGTACAGACCAGACCAGACCAGGTGCTTACATAAGGACCGGTCCGACCAGACCGGTCCGACCAACAAGACCGCCAAGAATGAGGCTGAAGCAAAGAAGGAAGCCGAGGAAATGTGTTTTACTACTGACTGTCAATCTAGTCGTCTTCGTTCTCACTATCCTCGATATCGCTGTTCCCCTCAGCTTGGGGCTTTCCATACCCAGACTCCGCAACAATCAATCGGATCGGCATGATTGATTCCTATCTAGGTTAAAGGCTGCCTAATAAAGTAACTCTTTAACCTATATAGGAATCAATCATGTCGATCGATTGATTGTTGCGGAGTCTGTCCATACCAGGCCCGGAGACACTCGCACGCTTCTATAATATCTGCCTTCAGCCTACCACGGCGATCGACGATAGTAAGCTTCGCGCTACTAAAAAGACGTTCGCATTCATCCGACATAGGCGAGATCGCAAACATGTCTAGAGCGAAGCGAGCGAGATCTCGTTGGGAGTCGTAGCGAGATAGCCAGTACGCAATAGCCTCATTGCAACCTGCCTCTTCGTTATGAAGCCGGTCAGTAGAGATGTATTGTTCATACAAATCAGTTGTAGAAACTGGAGCGTCTATTCGAATGCGCTTATGTTCCCGCTGGCGATCAAATGCTGGGTCAGGATCTCTCTCCTTCCTGGCTGGTGGTGGCAGCATCTCGACAGGGTACCTTCCCTTATACTCTGTCTCCCAGAGATGCTTCACCGCTAATTGTGCGTTTTCAAACCACCTCTTCTTCTCTTCGTCGCCATGAAGAACCCACTCTTGCCTGAACCATCCCCACTTGCGATATGGATCAAGGATTTGAGCCGCATAATATGCCGGTGGAAGGTCAGTATCTTCAGGGAATCGATTTTGCCAATTCAGCTGCTGATTGTTATAGTACTCAACGCACTTTAACCAAGCAGCATCAGCGCAGCCTTGAAGGTACTTCCATGTAAAGTTGTTATCGTCCTCAGTGTGGATGTCGTGGTAGTGATCCTTCGTCTCGCTTATCTCCCGGAGAAGGCAGTCCAAAGTTGAAAACCAGTCCGCAAGTGACGTCTTCTTACCTTCAGAAAGCAAAGTTGCAGCATAGAAGTCTTTGAGAGCGAGTTCAATCTTTTCAAGCTCAAACCAGTGCTGTCCATCAAGCTTAAAGTTCGCGATCCCTACGGAGCCCTTTCCAGGTACATGACGAGCCGAGAAGAGCTCTAAACGTTCTCGAACATTTAATGCACGTGTAATCGAATAAAACCATGAGTTCCAGCGGGTCGAGTTGTTCTGGATAAGCTCAAGCCCGTCGAATTGCGAAAGATCTCCGCCGATAATAATTGTAGCAAACTCCTCACGCCAGACTCCGCAACAATCAATCGATTGACATGATTGATTCCTATATAGGTTAAAGAATTACTTCATTAGGCAGCCTTTAACCTAGATAGGAATCAATCATGCCGATCCGATTGATTGTTGCGGAGTCTGCCTCACGCCGTTGTGGAGTAAGCCTGATGTATCGCACCAGGTTGTGAAGACGACCCAAACATCCGAACTTCTTCCAGAGCTCTTCCACCTTCGTATAGTCGCCACGTTGATGATGCTTCTCCAGCTTCGCAAGATACTTCTCACAGTTTCGCCCCATAAGGAACGCCTGGCAACAGAGGTTGATGACATGGCCCAAGCAACGCAGCCGGCGATGACGACGTTGTTTTGACTTCATCCATGGGCAGAGATCCTTGAGTATAAACTCAACAGCGGTATCATTTGCCGAGGCATTATCCAGCATAAAGTATCCAATCTGATCTCCGCTAATGTCGTATTCTTCCAGCAATTCAAGGACCACCGATCCAAGATTCTCTCCAGTATGTTCGCCGTATATACGTCGCATACCTAAAGCGGTAACACGTCGCATGCCGGTAGTATCAATCCACATAGCGACGACGCCTAGGATAGCGTAAGGGTTTGGTGAAGTCCAGAGATCAAAGGAGATAGAGATCCTACTCCGTGAATGGTGTAGGTCCTCCCTAAGCTGTTGCTTCTTCGATATGAATGCATTCATTACCCAGCTTCGGATAGTCTTCGCAGCCTTCGGGAGGTGGTTGAGTAGTGCCGGATTTAAAAAGAGGAGTAGTTCACGAAAGTACTGGTTCTCTAATTGAAAGAAGGCGATATGGCAGTACACAATCCAACGAATTAGAAGCTCTTTAAACTTCTCTACTGACTCCTTCCAGAAAAAGATGCTGGAAGCAGCCCCATCCTTTTGCTGGTCGATTATAGACTTCCGTACAGAACCCTTTCGCTTGATGCCACTCTGGGGATCAATCTGGTGCTTCTGTTCCAGGTGATTCCGGATCCTAGAAGTGCCATTGATGACAAACAACTCTTGCTTGCTCTTCCCAACCCTGCACTCATGGCAGTAATACACCTCTTTCTTATCGCTATCTCGAATGTATTGGAGTCCGTACTTCCAGATGTGTGATGTACCTTGACGGAAATCCTTCCTTGCAATTATTGCACGTTTCACGTACGTGATACCGCCCTGCACGAACTCATCTGGAGATTCGTGATATTGAATAGGAGTGGGTGATAGTATAGGGGTGGGTGATGACGTGGGGATAGGAGATGGAGTAAGAGACGTTAAATCTAGTCTTATAATATTCGATGGGGACGGTGAGGTTGGTGTTGAAGGCTCCATAACAATAGTATATAAGTAGGTTGTTAAGGACTTGATTGTTCTATGTAAGTAGAAGACTTACCTTGATCTTAATGACTCATATTGTGCTAAATTTTCTGGCTAGATTAGTCTAAGATCTAGTCACGTGGACCTATTTATAGCCGGACCGGTCCGATCATCTAGACCGGTCCGACCACGGTCTCAAAAAATCGCCAGACCAGACCAAGTCTTGGCGGTCTAGACCAGACCAAGACCAAGTCAGACCAGACCATTCCGATCACTGATCCTTGCCATAGGCTAGGATGATATCGTCTACGTAGTAGAAGATGATGATTCCGTCTTTGATCATACAGCAGGGCTCGTGGGGTACAATCTGGAACCCAAGTTGAGTGAGCGTCGCTGTGAGATCCTTCTGCCAAAGGAGTGGGGATATTCTTAGCCCATAAAGAGCTTTCTTGATCCGTAGGATAGTGCCGGGCTTCTGATAACCCTTTGGCATCCGCATGTAGACCTCTCGATCTAACGATGCGTGGACGAAGGCGTTGGTAACGTCGTACTGTTTTAGTTCAAGATTGTGTTTGGCAGCGATTGCCATAAGTAGTCGAAATGATCGGCTAGCTAGAGTAGCGGCGTAGGTGTCTTGGGAGGTGATATTGCGCTGCTGATCACCCCGCACAACTAATCGAGCTTTGCACTTAATGAATTGATTGGCTTTGTTAAATTTGTAGACATACACCCACATGCAGTCTAGAATCTGGTGTCCTTTAGATTTAGCTGCTTGGTAGGGTACTTCTTCCCACGAATTGGTGACTTTGTGGCTGTCGAGATGTGCACGTTGTGCTTCTTTAAATAGCTCTCCTAAAGGGTGCTGATCAAGATCAGTCCTGGCTGTCGGTGGATCAGGAAGTTGTGATTGATGGATCTTGACTCCTTTGGCGAGTAGCCGGTGAAGTTGTGCCTTGTCGATTGGGCTTCCATTGTGAGTGCCTATAGTCCCTGCCTTTAATCCAGCCATGAACGCTGCGGCCCATGGAACTGTTTTGGATGATTGGATCTCAGGAGTGGATCGAACATTTCCACTCATAAACTGGGCGAGCAGGACTGCTGGTGGAGGTGTTGATGGAGGAGTTGGGTAGTGATCTTGGATCTTTCGACCATTGTAGTACCCTGGCGGATCTTCTTCCTCCTCTGTGGTATTGATGCTTTCGTCGTCTTCATGAAACGACTCCGTCCCGGTGTCTGGGATCGGTGGTGGGAGCTCGATAGTCCTAACGTATGCTGCGATCTCTGAAAGAGTGCTGTGCATAAGGCTATCCATTAGGTCTTCAATTGTCCCATCAAATATTGTATTTTCGTCGAAGGTCACGTCTCTTGTGCTGATGACTTTGGCGAGTGATGGGATCCAAATCCGATAGATATTGGATGATTGATATCCAACTAGGTAGCCGATCCAGGCTTTTGGATCAAGCCGCTGTAGTCTTGATTTGCCTCTGTGGGTATCATCAGTCATCGCAAAAGCTTTGCACCCATAGGCTTTGAGGTATGCTAGGTAGGGCTTCTTGATCGACGTGACTATCCCATTTGCTAGTGATACGCGCGTGAAGAATACTTCGTAGGGTGTTTTCCACTGGTTACTGTAGTTTGGCGTTCGATTGTAGAGGTGTACAGCAGCCCGAGTGATCTCTGGCCAGAGTTCCCATGGTAGATTGGCGTCAAGTCTCATTGTGCGTGCCTTCTCCTTATTCACACCCCCTGAGCGTTCAGCTCCACCGTTTTGAGCTTGAGTATCTGGTGCTGAAGGCTCGACAGCAATGCCTTGGCCTCTGATCCATCGCTCGACGTCTGGTTTGACTGTGGTGATCTCGTTGTCGGTTTCGATCACTTTTGGGGTGATGTTGTATTGGTTTTGGAGGAAAGTGAGGAAATTGGATAGTACTCGGATGATCGATTTCGCCGTTCGGTTATCTGTGAGATAGAAATCCCACTGAAATCGCGAGTACCTATCGGTAATTAGCAATTGGCTTTTCTCTTTGTTGTAGGATTGATTCTCATAGGAGTGGAAATCAATGGCGAGCCTCTCTGCGGGTCCCTGATCATTGATCCGTGGAGCGCGGCTGATCTGTCGTCGGATTTTCGCTCGGCCACACGCATCGCACTGCACTGTCGTTACCCCTTTAACTCGCACCCCCTCAGCTTGCTGGACTAGGTGCTCGATCGCTGCTGGCCCTGGGTGTCCCAGTCTTTTGTGCCAGAGGAGAGCAGGCGCCTGTTGGGGTCGCCGGCGCGTTCGGGACGTTTGTGAGTGGGCGTGTAGGGCTACTCTGTCCTCTGATCCATTTGGCCGATACTCCAGTACCCATTGACCATATAGCTCTGCCAGCTCGCAGACGGTTGATCCATCTGATCGCTTGACCGCTGTGGGATCCGATTGGGTATCCCACCAGAGTCCTTGCTTTCTCAGTACTCTAAATGAGACGATATTGCAGAGGATGTCTGGGCAGATTGCTACGTCGTGGAGCACGAGTTTCTCTACTCTCTGTTTATGTTCAAGCTGTATGACTATTGATCCATATCCCTTGATCCAAATCTGGCTATTGCCTGCCCATATGAAATCTCCATGGATCGGTGGCCGATAGTTGTGGATCCGATCGGGGTTGTTCGTGATATGGCACGTCGATCCTGAGTCAAAGATGAAGGAGTTGCTTAGTGGGTAATCGTGCCGATTCGATAGGGAGGATACAGCGGCGAACATGGCGTCGATCTTCGATATCTGTCGTCCATTTAGTCAATCATCAATAAGATTAGGTGTAGGAGTTTGGGACTGCTTAAGTCTTGGAGTATGAGTCCTTGGGCGACCTTGGGCTCTCAGGAGACTCTGAAACTCAGCGTCATGTTCTCGTCTGAGCTCCACGAATTGGGCTGTTCTTGGATTGGGTTCCCACCACTCCGGAGCTTTCTCAGTATACACGTAGAAGCAATCACGGAGGGCATGCCCCATGTCACATGCTGGACATTTGGGGCCTCTGGCGTCTGCGATCACAGTTTTACCAGGCACGGCGTCCGCTTTGGCGGAGTTACCGTAGGCGTACGATCTTGCGCTTTTGCCTCTTCCTCTTGGAGGGATTGAAGAGCTTGGAGGTTCGCGATCGCCTTCCTCTATAGCTGTACGTTGATATCGGGGTCTGCCCCGTTTTCTGACTTGAGAGTTTCCCGTTTCCACATGGTGGGTGTCCCCATCCACGCGCTGGTCAGCGTTGCTGTTCGCAGCAAGAAATACAGATGGATCATCCACTGCAAAAGCTGCCTTTTGGCTTCTGTTTCGCGTGATCGGATGATTCAGCATCATATACTCTCGGAACCGTCTCATCATGTCCTTCTGGGTTACCCCAGGTTGATCCATCCCATTGGATTGGAAGGTTGCTGCCCATATTGGGGCTATTTTGTTTACTGCCGACATAAAGTCTACAGCTACTGATCTAAACTGAGTAGTATCAGGCACCTTAAGTGTCTCCGCTTCAGTTACAGCTTGATTGTACTCGGCGAGCCAGGTATCCCAGTTATTCGCGGATCGAGGTGGTTTAAGAGCACTGTAGTATCGCTGTCGCG